TCGTCAAATCAGAACTGTGTGTCTGACTCATATTCTTCACTCATTACTTTTCAAGTCTCTCGTATTCATCGTCATTAAGACCATCTAGAACTGAGACTTCTGTTCACTACAGCACTATAGGCAAAACAAAATCATTGAGATCGAAACAGAGCAGCTAAAGGGGTTTTCTTTTTGTCAGACGATCTTGTAGGTGCGATTTATACGAAGAGTATCAATTGAGATGATTTCATCTACCCTAGAACTTGTTTTGATAGAATAAATAGTTTAAATGATAATTATAAAATTTTATAATACCTTTTGTTATTTTAATTTAATAAATAAAATTGTTTATTCTTTTCGATTAATTTGAATATGATAGAAAAAAAAAGTTTTTTTTTTTCTTCTAGATCGACGTTTGTAGACGTCATCTGTTTTGATCTTTCATAGATGGAGCAATATGTAGAAAACTATTTCTAAATGGTTACCAATTTTTACCATCAAGCATGTTATTGCTTTTATTCTCTTTCTTTTTCGTATGATCCATTGAAACATTTGATATAGATATTAATTATTATTATATTATAACATTTTATTGATTTTCTTTTGCTAGAAATAAAAAAATATAGAAACAAATCGAGTTATTTTGTTTTTCGATAGATTATATATTAGTATAAAAAAATGTCGTTTATCGAAGGTATTGGTGATGATTTATTATATGCATTTGGTTTTTTACTTTTTATTGGTATTGTTTCCCTTGCTTGGCTTTCAACACATGTTAATTATATTCATTTCCCTACGACATTATTTATTATTGAACGACGAACACGTAGAAACAATGGTAATAGATATATATCTATTTTATAAAAAAGAATGATTTATTCATAGGTTTTTATTTTCTTGTTAAATTCTAGAAGAAGAATCAGAAAGAGCAAGTTCATTATCACCATCAAGATTAACTCCATCAAATGAACAATCTACATTTCCATCATCTGAAAATGAAACACAAACAGAACATGAATCTGATAATGAGTATGATTAAAATATAATATTTTATTATTTTTATTGTATGATTTAGATCAAGTGATATTGATGAATTTAATTCTGAACAAATACCATTAGTAACAGAATCAAATATTACACAAATACAACAATCACAATGTGAACATACAAATTCTATAGAAATAAATCCTCTACAACAAACAACGTCTAATGAACAAGAAACTCAATTATTAAGAATTATTATTAAATTTCTTAATGATACAAAAAAAGAAATATTAGCAAATCCAAATGATACAATATCAAAAATTAAACAGTAAGAATTAAACTAACCGTTTTAATTTTATGAGTTCGATCGAACAATTTTCAGAATGAATTATTCATTAGATTTGTTGATAGTCGATCTCAGTAACATTATAACTAAATCTTATAAAGTAAATTTTATTTTTCACAACTAAAAAAAATCCATCTAGTCAACATTGTATTATAGGAATTTCACAATATAGATGTTAATCGTAGTTAAATTTTTAATTAAATTAACATATCGATGTACAGCTTTAGTTTACTGACGACCGATTCACAAGGCAACGTTTTCAAATGATCAATCGCTTATTCACAAAAATCTATCGGTCTTGCTAATTTTGAATATGACCATAAGAAATCCTCTTAGGTCTTTAGATACTCGATTTCTAGACTAACAAATATTTTTATCAAAATATCTTTGACTTTACTCAGATATTAGTCTCATAGTATGATGAACTTTGACCGACCTAAATGTGAAGAAGCTAAAGGGTCATCATAAACTTTTTCTTTAGATGAGGTTATCTCAACATAGAAACCAAATCGCATGACATTCGGACAACTCAGCAATACCTCTATCATCAACATAAAATTCTATGTAAAGCAGCTTTAGTTCGTCTGATTTTATGAAGTAGTTTTATCGTCGATTAATCTTAGCCATTAGACTTGAAATTCTATCATTGACATGCGAATCTTTATTTATTAATAAGAAAATGAAGATTAATACATTTAAATAGTGAAAGGCCTATCAAGTAAAAAGATTGAAATTGATGTACGTTTTATCTAGTAGTGGCATTCTTGCTACTACTATATGTATTTGTTGTATGAATTGAAATAATTGTGTTTTCTTCGTAAATAAAAATGACAAAGTCATTGATCAGTTGAAAATGTTCCCTTCATTAGTAGTAGCATTAGTGATCCAACTGATTTATTTCGAAAATAATCTTCTATGAAATTTATTTAGATTACATTTTGCTGATGAATTATCAAATAATAAAATGATACGATTTATATATCAAGGTCGAGAATTACAAGATCGAGAAACTCTTCGTACATATAATATTCGTGATCAAACAACAATACATTGTCAAATAAGTACAAGACGTCATGAAACAACAAATCAAAGAAATGATGGAATATCATCAGGAACACATATAAATCAAAATGGTTTTGATACATCAACATTTATTGATTCATCACCTGTTAATATTTCATCACATTTTATTCTTTTATTAACATTAATTCTTGGATTTGTATGGTATTTACGTATTAAATATCGTGTTCTATTTTCACCTATTTCAAGTGTTATTCTTGTATTAATAACACTTATATTTTTAATATTTACATGTGGTTCTTTCTTAGCAACACGTCGACAATTATTTAATATTCGACAACCAACAACAACAATTGCTATAACACCAATTCAACATGTTCATCTTGATTAAAAATATTTTTGTTTTTGCTCTTGATTTGTTTCTTTTTCCCTTTTGCTAATATATAACATATATATTTTATTTTTTCTTTTCATTTTGTTTTTGTATCTATGTATTCTCAAAGAGTTTTGAGCAATAAAGCTCATCGTCTAGTTTTTTTCTTTCCGTTTTCGAATTATTAAAATATATTACGATCTGTCAATCTTATATTGTTTCTTTTATTTTACATGAAAATAATTATCATTTGTTTAGTGATATGTGCTTTTTTTCTTTTTATTCTCATCGGAAATATTAATCGATTGAATTCAAGTTGATCATATTTCTTCAAGCAAAAATAGTGCAAGTTTTTGCGAGTTTTTTCTTGAAATAGGTCGACGTTCAATTAATTTTCTCTCCATAATAGATGTTATTCATCTTTCTAAGACGTGGTACGGATGATAAATCTTAACATTAGTAATAAAAGGACATTATATAAATTATTCACAAATAAAATATGTCGGAAGTCACGTAGTTAATGTTCTTTAATCATTTTATTCCTAAATGTTGGTACGTGAGAAAGACAGAAGTATTGACAAAGTTTTTCTTAATGTCAAACTAAGTGACTGATAGTTTTGTTGTTATCAATTCAGACACATAATAAAATCAAGATTTTTATTCAGTATAATATTTTTTTTGTAAAAAAATTCTTTTTTTTCATGTAGATGACTTTTTATTCTCATACAGATCCATGTGTTGAACTTCGTAATGTTCTTCATCGTTCATTGATCTCACTTGGTTGTCCTCATGTACCAAGTTTACCAACTTCAACCTTTCTAATGACAACAAATACAAATTTAAAAGTTGTTATATGGTTACTTGGTGAACTTGATTCTGATCTTGCACAACGTTTACATACAACACGTTCATCAAATTCAATTACATTTATAAAAGATTTTTTTCTTGAAACAGCTATGTTTCCACGTTCATTTATTTTACGTCTTGATGATATATTTAATTCATCATCACTTATTGATCTTCATCAATTATCAAATATATTATCATATTATATACATAAACCAATTATAGGTCATAATGTTCAATTAGGTCTTATTGAATATCTTAGTGAATTACTTGTATGTTTACGTAATCCACCAATGACAATACATCATGATATGTGGAATAATCGTAATGTACTTAATATGTTTGAACAATTACCTATGGATGAAACAAATCTTTCAATTGATTCACGTATACTTGAATATGCTGATAATGAACAACAACAATCCGGTGATGATGAACAAACAAGTGTAGATTTAAAAGATGTTTTTGGACAAGTACGTACAGAATTATTAGCACAAAAAACAAATGATATGAATGAAACAGAATTTGAAACAATATTTACAAATGAACAAATTATTGATATTGAAAAACAACTTCAAAATGCTTTAGTTGATACACATCAATTTTTTAAACGTCTTGAAACTGGTATTGTTTAATATATTTTTAGTTTTAATAGTTGAATATCTAAAAAAATGTTGTCTATCTATGTGTATTAATGCAAAAAAAACAAGTTATGACAGAACACAAAGAAAAGAAGTTTTGAAACATATTTATAAATTATATATTATGTTTATAACATTATTATAATTGAATTAGACATGTAGAGACCTTGAGAATGGAGATGAAAGATGAGATACAACTAGATGTAATTCTAGGTGTTAATAAGAAATAACACACGTAATAAATTTATTTTCCTAGATTATTCGATAGTTTTTTTTTTTCGATGAACTGCAAATGTTGACTAACATAGAATTAAAAGGATAGATTTATTTACAATATATTTAAATAAATATATATTATAATAAAAAATCAAATTTTTATATATTTAGGTTTACCAAATTTATCAACATCTATTGATCAACAATTAACATTTTTATTAACGAATGAAACATTACAAAAATTAACATCACTTAGTCATTTAAATGAAGTATATGAACAAGTTTGTTCAAATGATAAAATATTTACAGATAAAATTCAATATTTATTAAATGATATTGATAAAGAAAATGAAAATAATTCTAAACAATCAAATTCTTCTCTTACACTTCAATCACAAGTCATGTTAGCACGTAATCTTGCTCATACATTAAATAATTCTGATCAGATGAAAAAAAAATAAAACTTTTCTATTTTGTTAAAATACATAGATTTAAGAAGGAAAAAAAAAAGAACACAACTATAATAATTTTCAAATAAAATTCAGTCAGATAGTTTAATTTTGTTTAGTTTTTTTTTTTTTTTTATTTTATTCTTTTAATACGAACAACACATAGTTATTTTTGATCTTTCTGCTATACGTTCAGTTAAACTTGGATTAATTTTATTATCATTTAAAGATGAAATAATAGATTGATTTGATTTCGATCGATTTTTATCGTGTTCAAAACGTTCCATAACTGTATCGAGTAATAATTTAACTGATTCTGTTACATTAATATTTTTTAATGCACTTGTTTCAATATACTTTATATTATATTCTTTAGCAAAATCTTGTGCACGATCTTTGGAAATAAGACGTTCATTTTCTAAATCACATTTATTACCAACAAGTATCATAGCATGTTCTGCATAAGCATTAGTTTGTATTTCACCTATCCAATCACGTGCATGAATAAATGATGCTTCATTTGTTAAATCAAATACGAGTAAAAAACCGATAGCTTCACGAAAAAATGATGATGTTAAAGAACGAAAACGTTCTTGACCAGCTGTATCCCTAAAATTTAAAATATTTTTGTTCCTAAACGAAATGGAGATTTCTCTCTTCAGGGAGAATAAAATTTTTGAAGACAGGTACAATAGTCACAAAAAAATTTTCTTAACAAGTTAAAATTACTTGAGTTTCAACCGTTTAGTCTCAGAGTTTGACTATAAATATGTTAAACTCTTATCGATCTTCATGCGGAGCAATTAGAAGATCAATATAGAAAATAAATCTCATGAAAAGTAGTCTTATCTTCGGGTAATTTGAACCATTAGTATTGAAATTTTATACAATGTATGCGCTATTCTAACGAATTTTTGCTTTCAAATTTCATGATTGCACAACCATCGATGGAAATACAATTCGTATTGTAATTGTCCTAGACAACGGAAGCAATCTCATACTTCAAGTTTACAATGGATTACAGTTTTACATCTGGTAAAAACTAGTGGTACATCTTACATTGAAACAAAAAAAGAAGTAGATATTTTGAACATTTTCTAATGTAAGTAGAATAAAGTTTCAGCTGGATCATATATACAATTTTTGAGAAACATAAGAAATTGTTAACTATTCTAGTAAAAAAAAAACAAAACACTCATTTTTCATAAATAGCGAAAATATTTCATCTTTTTCGGTTATATACATAAATTAGAAAAAAAAAAAACATGATCTCTATAAATTCTGATTTGCTAAATTTATTTACTCAATAGAAGCCTTACTTTTCATCTTTTCATTTAAGTAGTATGATAGATAAAATAATTTACTTTAGAAAAAATAATAAAACGTTTACTTCTTTAAGTACATATTTAATTTGTGTACATTCAATTGATATTTTGAGTTTCTTACAAAAATAATGAAGAATCTTACACAATCGAAATCATTCTTTTTGTTGTTGTTTTTTTCTTTTTTGTACTAAACTATATATATCTATTTTTTTTCTTCTTCAAATAATTACCATAATTGTAAATGAATGGTAAAAACTTTATTTGCTCGAGATGATTCATATTCAAAAGTTTTATTTCGAATATCAATTCCAACAGTCGGTGCTAAACTTTCATTATATTGTCCATCAACATATTGATTGAGTAAACATGTCTATATAAATGAAAAATTCAAAGAAAAACTTAATAAAAATCTAATAAATTTATACTTTTCCAACACCAGAATCTCCAAGAGCTAAAAATTTGAAGTCTAAATTAGAATCCATCGCACGTGATATTTATTGATGTCGTTAATAATAACCTTTTTGATTTGACTGTCTTTTATATTTACATGTAATCACGTAGCTTATTCGTACATCGAATATAGACAAGGAAGAAAAACGAAAAATTGACGTCAATACATATGACAAAAAAATTATACCTGATGATTTTCGATGATTTTTTTTTCTCTCTTGTTTTTATTCATAATGTGCTAAATATATACATTTATACTTTCGTTCTTTTCGTGTTTTATATTGATTTCTTTTGCTTTTTGTAGATGATCGATAATTACAATAAGAGTAATGAAGGAGAATATTTAGTAGAAAATGAATCATCATCATCCACTAATCAAGAAGAAAAAAAAGCCCCACTTGCAACAAAGTATTGTAATGATTATGAAAATATTTTGTGGTTTTTCTCTTGATACTTATATTTAGATGGACTTTTTGGCTTGATTCACAAAAAAATAAATTTTCATCAAAACAAGATTATGAAGCTGGTCTTGAAATAATATCTTCTGTTATTAGATTTTTTATTTTTATTATTTAAATCTATGTTTGATTATTCATATGATTATTAATTTTAATTTAGGTTGAAACTGTTCAAGAATTTTGGAGTGTTTTTAATAATATTCCAAGTAGAAATAATTATTAAATATTTATTATTTGTTGATTTAAATTAAATTTTATAGAACCTAATCAATTAGCAAATCGTGTTAGTTATCATTTAATGCGACAAAATCGAAAACCACTATGGGAAGATAGAGAAAATGAAAAGTATGATAAAAGAAAAAAAAAAAAAAAACTACAATGTTTTATTCAATCTCATTCTAATGAAATCAACAGGAAATGTAGAAACTATTTAGAATGCGCAGTTTTAGTTTCCTGATCACTGACTCGTGGGAGAAACTCCTCGGATATCCTCTTCCGATTTCAATAATTTGTTTTGTCTCTAGATATTGCATTGTAGTCTAATGGAAAATTTACAATGATTTAAGTCTCGATCGAGATTCGACTAAATTATCGAATATTTTTCTAGAAGTTTCGGATTTTCAGAAAACTCATATATTCTAATTCTGATCGGAAACTTTGTACTTAGAAGAAATTCCACAGAAGAATGTTAAAGTTTTGAAGAAAAGTATCTTCGAGATATGAAACTTACAAAAAATGTTCTTATTGGGTTCTCATTAATGTAGTTATTGCAAATTATTAGCATCAGTATTTACTGAAATATTGAAACACACAGCTACAAAGAAAGACGTATTGAGATAGAATTGATGTTTCAATATTTTAGAGAAGGATCCCAAAAATAATCTAATTGAAAAAATATTCGTACATATTTAACAAAGTAGATTAATCTTTACATATTAGGTTTTTTGATGAAAAACTTCTTCATGTGAATCTTTTTTCTTATATATTCTAAAAAGAAATATCTTAGGTAGCAAAGATTACATTAAATCTCAACAATGCTTTAAATAACCAATAAAGTTCTCTATAAAATACATCTGATGCTGAGATCTTCTAGCTGTAGAATGAGAGGAAAAGTCCTAAAAAAAACCAAACACAGTGGGTGCTAGAACAATTTATCTCTAGCGTATGGATGTAGAGTGTGAGTGCGGTATATTTTGTGTACCATCACTGAAACTCTTATCGATGTATCTAAATCAAGACACCCGCAATGAATCAATACATTAGTTTCTTTTTTGTGAATAAGTATCGTATGAACGTTCATCATTTGAGAAATTTCAATTGTTTTTAGTGGTGGAATTTATACATATAGATGTCCAAAAACTAAAACAAATACGGTTTGGCAAGAACTTTGTTTAGCTGCTATTGGTGAACAATTTTCTGTTATTGATGATGATGATATTGTTGGTATAAGTATACAATCACGTGAAGCTCAACTTGATATAATACAAATTTGGAATTTAAATCCAAGTGAAGAAGCACAAAAAGCAATTGATAAAACAGTTGTTGAACTTTGTTCTGATGATACATTTCCAATAAAATTTTATAAAGCTAATTCATCACATATTAATTTTGAAGCAAAAAATAATTAGCAATAATAGAATTAATTATTATAATGATAAAATATTTATTTTTATGAAAATATTTCTTTTATTTTCATTTTTCTTCATTGAAATAGATTTTTAAAATTGTTTGTGTTTGGTTTTTTTTTTTGATTGAAAGTCATAATAAACTGTTCGAATATTGGTTGTTTAATACACACACACACACACACAAAAGAAACAATGTTGTTTTTTTTTTACACTTGTTTTTCCCCTAAAGAAGATATTCAATCAAATATTTAGAAGAACATAGAGGAAATAATAGAATCAATACATTTATTTCCATACAACCGGAAACAAAAAAAAATTTCTTTTCTCTATTATATTTAATAATGATATTGTCAAGACATGACATAATTATAAGTATTATTTCCTAACATCAAACACTACATTTTTTCAATTTCTTTATTCAAAATTCTTATATGAACATATTACAATCACTTGCTAGGTTTTCTTTTATTACACATAAGATAATATAAATACAACAATTGTCAATCATTACCATTTGTCGAAAAATGATTAATACAAGTTTTAGTAATAATACAGATGTTTTTCAAACCCTACCATCAAGTAAGTAAGATATTATTATTGTTTGTATTTGATAGATAGTGCTTTACCATTCCTAATAAAGTAAACAAATAACAACATATGTATATACGTAAACATATTATATCGAACAAGCGCGCATGTGATAATAAGAAAAAGTGATGAATAGTTTTCTTTTTTTAACCATATGTATTGATGATCATTTTAAAATTAAGTAAACAATGAAAAACTAGAAATGTATAAGTTTTATATTCATTCGTAAATTCTTCATCTATATTTATCATCATCTTCATATATATTTAATTTAATAATTAATATTTAAATTATCTATTAACAGTAAAAGAAAAAAGTTGTTTCTTTATTCTCTGTTCAGTATATCAATAAACTAATTAGTTTTCTTTTTTTTTCGATATGACATAGAAGTTTTCATATATATATAAGATCATACGATATACTATTCATTTATTTTTGATTTATGTCACTTATATGTATTTATATATATAGCTAGATCAATATCTATATTAATACAATGTTTGCATGCGCATTTATTGTGCTATTTCAAGAAATAGTGATGAGTACTTCAAGTGAAATATGAGAAAATTGTCACCCTTGACTCAATGATAAAATGTCGAAAAATCCTTAGAATGACTGTTTAGTAGTGTTTTTATACTCATACACATATATAAACATGCGAAAATCATGTACTTTCAATCAACGTGTGCATTAGAATAGTTGATTTCTAGCACGCGCATTGAAATGATGAATTAGAATCGGTCTATCCTAGCAGTTGCTGTTTCTTTTTTGTCTCCTCATAAAAAACTTCTTTTCTCGAGCAAGAATGAAAGATTAAGAGGAAACGACATAGAGAGAAGAAGAGAAAGCAGTTGTCGTCGTTTTCTCATAAACAACTATTCATCTTTCTCTCCTTCAGTTCTGATTCCTCTTCTTTTTTTTTTTTTTTTTTTTTTTTCATTCTAACAATCTCTTTCACTCTTCATGTCAATTGAGTCTTCTTCTTCTTCTTCTTCGTCTTTTGCTTCTCAATATTTTTGATTAGTTGTCGAGCTTTGCTACTAACATCCTATTGCTGTACTAAAATGAATTTGCATTTAACTTTTATCCTGTCATCTTCGTTTGTCATTATGTTATCATCATCGTCAACATCAACTACACTACATTACTTATTGAAAACGAATATCTAAATCTAAAGATAGTATATATATATATGCATATGTACAATTATTTTTGATCATGAATCGAACAGAATCTTCTTTTCGACGTCATCCAGGTAGTGGTAGTTTGCGTAGATTTAGTTTTCGTCGTAAAGCTACAAGAGAATCAGTACCTGAACCAACGTCAACATGGTCATTTAATAATGATAGTCATGAATGGCAATTACTTCGAGGTAAAATTCGATTTATACTTTCCTTTTCAATTAATGATAGAAAGAAAAAAAATATATATATATATTTATGCATGCATTATTACTATCATTCCGCACTATTTCATACATGTCTTCTTTGACATAGTTTTTAATCATGTTAGTTGTTTTTTTGTACATACGCGAGTAAATCATTTAAGCATGCTTCCGGAATATTATGTTTCGGATATATTTGTTAGTTCCGATTGGCATGGAATAAAAAGTAGAAAACAAACATAAACAGATATTGTTATTTTTGCTATGCTCTAACTAACAAGTAATAGATTAGTTCAAATGTAGGAAGAATAGAATGATAACATTTACACTTTTTTTTTTTTATGATTATAAAAACAAAAATAATGAAAATCGATTTAGGTTTCTTTTTCTTAGATGAAGCCGGAATATGACATGTTTAATATTAACAAAAAAAAAGAAATCAGAAAAAAATGGTGTTTAGTCGTCTTTTTAATCTTTATCTATTTCCTGGAAAAACAGATACACACATATATATATATATTAGCAGTAAACAGATTCTTTTCCGTTCATTTATTCAATGATGAATATATAAGATGATAGTTCAAGCTCAATTGCTCCTCAAAATCTTTTTATTGATGATGATAATGAATTATCATTATTAAGAAGTATGTATCTTTAAAAAAATAACAATTAGTTCATTATCATGTCAATTGCCATAAATCGTATGTTATTATAATTATCATTATTAATCTTCTAAAATCTAATTTTATTGTATATATAAGTCGGAAATTCTTCTCTTTATCGTAATTTTTTCTTTCTTCATTTTTTTTTGTCAACATTTTCTTGACCAAAAAACAAAAATAAAGATAAACGATGATTTGATATGAAAGGCGATGACTACATGGAAGACAAGTAAAAAGAAAGTGACTCTTTACTATTACTGTTTTATGAATGTCTTTTGGGAAAAATGATTCTCTATCATCGTTGCGCGCACGATTCATCTAGAAACATTTGCCGAGAAAAGAACTAAGAAGGGACTATAATGTAATTGGAGGGAAAAAGCTATATGTATATGTCGCGGATTTTGTAGCTCTCAGTGGGAATTTAATTAAGCAACTTATTTATAATGATGATGATGATGATGATGTTGGTAGTCGTTGTCATCGTACAGCCTAAAGCAATTGAAAGCTTGAAAATATGAAGAATATAGATTGTGTTGTTGTTTGTTTTTAATAACATTTTTTGAATAATAAATTTTCCTAGAAAGTACATTGAATCTTATTGTTATTTTTTGTTTTTACAGAGGATGGTGCTCAAATTCAACTTGTCTACAATAAATCAGAAGTATGAATTGAACAGAAAAATAAGAAATATAAAAGAGATAAAATTTTCATTTTACTCTTTTTCTTTTTTGTAGCATATCCCTTTAAAAGATTTTGCAGCTGAAATTCGTGGTGGAAAAGATATAAAAGAATTTATTCTTAGTGCATTTGTTTTACTTGATGTACAAGATACATCAATATGGGATTTATTAGAAATAATTCTTCGACGAATAAAACATACAAGTTTACCTAATAATGATAGTACAACAGCATTATCATCTTCGTCTGTATCAAATGCACCTACAACAATGATAAATAATACAGTTATTAATACGAGTAGTGGACATCGAGAAAATATAAATATTGAAGAAATTAAAAATGCATTGTTTGTAAATGATAGAGGTATTATTATTGAAACACAAGTTTTATCTTTTGTTTATTATGTGTGAGTCTCTTTTTTTCTTGTTTTTCTTAAGTTCGAATCTTAGCAAAAACTCTTCAAGCAACAACAGCAACTGAATCAAATTGGACCTATGATCAATCTTGGTTAGCAATAATGTGTACATCTCCATCAATTCTTAAACGTCATGTTGCTATAGCTCGTTTGAAATATCCTTGTAATTTAGGACGTAATTGTCAAGAAGCACGTTTTATTATTTTTATATTATCTCCGATGAGAGAAAAAGGAACAAAAAATTTTCTTGAAACAGGTCGTACATTTGCTACAATATTTGCTGATATTGAATTACGTGCGAAATTATTAAAAGCTACAACACAACAAGAATTTATTTCAATTATTGATGTAAAAATTATTTTTAATTGTTAATATATTTATATAAATTTTTTTTTTTTTGTTATAGAAACATACAGATCATTTAATGGAACAACAAACATCACATACAAGAAATTCTTTACCAGATGCATTTGATGATAATACTATAAACGCTGAAGTAAGCAAGTATTTTTCTTTTTTTTGTTTTAAATATTTAAATAAAATTTTTTTTTTTGTGTTTCAAGATGTTAAAAGTTAAAACATATTATTGTCCAATACTATTTGATATGTATATGGATTTATCACGTCGTTTACCACATTATTTTTCAGATTTTTATGATAGTAAAATTTGAATTAAATTTTTGTTTACTAATCGTTTTATTCATTATTTTTTTTTTATTAAAATTTTAGTTTTTAATACACATCATGGTTCACAAAAAGTTTTATCAACTACAATTTTTCTTTATTTTGCTTGTCTTTTACCAAGTATTGCATTTGGTGTATTAAATTCTCAAGTAACAAATGATCAAATAAGTGTACCTAAAGCTGTTGCATCACAATGTCTTGGTGGACTATTTTTTTCAATATTTTCTGGACAACCATTAATTGTTGTTATGACAACAGCACCATTAACAATTTATGTTAAAGGTAAAGTTTTAAATAGAAAAATCTTTATCTTGATTACTAAATATATATATTTTTTTGTTTTTTGATTAAATAGTTATTTTTGTATTATGTACTTGGTATCGTTTGGATTTTCGAGATACATATGCCTTAGTTGGTTTATGGAATTCATTTTTTCTTATTTTATATTCACTTTTTGGTGTTTCAAAAATAATGAAATGGTCAACAAGGTAAAAAAAAGAATTTTTTTTTTTCATTTGTTTAATTTTCTAATTTATTCATTACAAAAACAAAAAAATTAAAGATCAACTGAAGAAATTTTTGCATTATT